TCCCAACCAGGGCCCGGGCTGGGGAGGAGCCTGCAACCAAGGTGGGTGCCCTTGACCAGAATTGAACCCTGGACCTTTTGGTCTACAGGCTGATGCTCTGCCCACTGAGCCAAACCAGCTAGGGCTCATCATTGATGTTTCTATCTCTCCCCCTCTGCTTTCCTCTCTGAAATAATTAAAAAATTATAAAAAATAAATAAAATCTTTGTATTATGATTTCTAAGGCCAAAATTGCACACTTATTAAAGCCTATTCACTCCTGATTTTTTTCAAGTATAATATTTGAAATTAAACATAAAATAATTTAGTTTAATGCTCTAGGTCAGCGGTTCTCAACCTGTGGGTCGCGACCCCTTTGGGGGTCGAACCACCCTTTCACAGGGGTTGCCTAAGACCATTGGAAAACACATATATAATTACATAGTGTTTTTGTGGCCAATCACTATGCTTTAATTATGTTCAGTTTGTAACAATGAAATTGGGGGTCACCACAACATGAGGAACCGTATTAAAGGGTCGTGGCATTGGGAAGGTTGAGAACCACTGCTCTAGGAGGTATAGCTGAATAAAATGTAAGCAATACTCAAAGTTCTTATTGTTTAGTTGATAAGCCTACCATATTTGTGCATTTGAAGATCTGCTAAAGAGCTGTCAAAGGGGTATAAATTATTACTGAATTTGCTAATGAGTTTCAACATTTTGATTTTTAAAATGTAAGTTACAACTCGTCAACTCTTCTTTCACATTTTAGAAATTTACAGCACCCAGAAGCAGAATTTTCAAAACTGGATGGTACTTCACATATTATATATACCTGATTTTATTCCAGATCTCTAGGTTTCTAAGTTCAGTAGTATACTTTTGTCTAAAGTTGGCAAGATGTAACATGAAATTTTTAAAAATGCTTTCTCAGCCCGCCAGTGTGATTCAGTGGTTAAGCATAGACCTATGAACCCCAGTCAGAGCATATGCCCAGGTTGTGGGCTCTATCCCTGGGAGGTGGAGTGCACGAGACAGCTGATCAGTGTTTCTCTGGCATCATCAATGTTTCTCTATCTCCCTTCCTCTCTCTCTAAAAATCAAGGTAGACAGAAAGCCATGTGAACTCCAAGAATGGTTGGTGGCTGCACGTACAATGAAAGGGCATTGGTCTAAGCCTAGCCCTGGCCTCTCAGTAACTATCTTGACCTCCTTTTACATAGTTTTCTGACTTTAAAAATGATTACATAGCCTCTAAGATTCTTTGTAGCATTCATTTCCAGGGAGTTCAGCTTTTTTAAAAAAATATATTTTATTGAATTTTTACAGAGAGGAAGGGAGAGAGATAGAGAGTTAGAAACATCGATGAGAGAGAAACATCAATCAGCTGCCCCCTGCACATCTCCCACTGGGGATGTGCCCGCAACCCAGGCACATGCCCTTGACCGGAATCGAACCCGGGACCCTTCATTCCGCAGGCCGACGCTCTATCCACTGAGCCAAACCGGTCCCGGCTAAAAAGCATATATATTTTTAAAAAGCTTTGAAAGGAGGTTTAAAAAAATTCTCAGCATGATGTAAGTATAGAGAATGGGTTGAAGGCATGAGAAAATAATAAAGGAAAAAACTTACATAACTAATATATTATAAAAGTCTATGTGCCTATATTTGTCTGGTCATTAATAAACCTAAATCTTTATTTAAATATTTTTAAAAGATATTTTTTTCCTTCTCAGTGACTAACATATCTCAACTTCTTTCTAAAAAAAAAATCTCAACCTCAGTCCAAGAAGTTCCTCTAGAACCATCAAATATCTTACTCCCGGTCAAGCCAAAGATTCAATGTCAACAGGCAAAGAAAGCGCCTCTGCACAATTTAACTTATGGTAAAGTGCTATTGGTTTTGTTTTATTTGAATGTATTGTTAAATGTTCTAGATAATTATTTTCCCCATGTAGGCAATAAATTTTGACTGTGGATGAAAGATCTATACTAATAAAAGCCCATGTGGTTGTCACGCCCTCACGCTGTGATGCCCTCATGCCATAACAGTCCATCACCAGGAGGCTGCATGCACAGTGGGCGGGTGCGGAGCCTCAGAGGCGGGTCCGGGTGGCACTGCGTGGCAAGGCCAGGGATCCTGGCAGCTCCATGCGGTGAGGCCAGGGGTCCTGGCAGCTCCATGCGGTGAGGTCGGGAGTCCTGGCAGCTCTGCCTCCGCACAGCGAGGCCAGGGGTCCCGGCGGCTCTGCACTGAGCTGCTGAGGTGAGACCCCCTGTGTGGGGTCCCCCGGCTCCAGCTTATCTCTTTGGGGCAATCCATCAAGGAGCCCCAGATGGGTGGGCAGGGCCTACCTCTTTGGGGAGCTGGATCGTGGGGCTCCCACACTGAGAGGGCACAGGCCAGGCTGGGGAATCCCACCCTACCCCCACCCTGTGCACGAATTTCATGCACCAGGCTTCTAGTGAAATCATAAAAGGCAGAAGCACTCAGACTGGGCAGGAGGGTGGAGTATTCTTAACCTGAAGACTTCTTTTTAATATTAAGTTTTAAGTTTTTCTGTTTCTCTGTTAATTTCATATGATTCTTCTGAAAATTTTATTTGACTTTGTATTTTTTTTTTTGCAGAGCTTCCAGTTCTGAACCAAGAACATGAAAGTGTTTCAGCTGCAGTAGTCTCCAACAGGGCATTAACTAGAGCTCAGTTGGCAAAACAAATTCTTTTAAAGGAGAATACAGCTGCAACCACTAAGTTCAAAAACAACACATTTGTTTTAGACGACATTAACTCTACCTATGAAAAATTCCAAAATACTACTGCTGAGACTCTCAATACTAACTGTGTTTCTGTTAAAAATGACAGTCAATTAATGATTTCTGATAATGAGGTCAGAATAAAAGGGACTTCGCAACAGGAGATTAAGGGAAGAAATGAGAAAACAGTGCCCAGAGAAACTGATCTTCCAGGTTCCATAAACGACACATGTAAAATTGTGCTTGCAACTCCAGGGTTTAATGTAACAATACCTCAGGGATCAAAGAGATACACTTCAAAGCTTCTTCCAAGTATATGCCAAACTACTACAAACGGAGTTAAAAATAATAAGGTAGGAAAACTTTTAAGGCAGATAAGTATTATCCCCTTCTTTAAGAGCTTGAGCTCTTATGCTCTCATTACTACTATTTAATGTAGAGGCAGTGGGTTGAAAGCAAGAAGTCCCAGGTGTTAAGTCTTACCTTGGTTGATTATTAGTTGCATAGCCTTCAACAATTTACTTACTCCCTTTAGGGATGAACACTGATTTTATTCCTTTTTTTAAAAAAATATATTTTATTGATTTTTTACAGAGAGGAAGGGAGAGGGATAGGGAGTTAGAAACATCAATCAGCTGCCTCCTGCACACTCCCCACTGGGGATGTGCCCACAACCAAGGTACATGCCCTTGACTGGAATCGAACCCGGGAACCCTGAGTCCACAGGCCATCGCTCTATCCACTGAGCCAAACCGGTCAGGGCTATTCCTATTTTTAATTCCTCCCCCCCTCCTAATTCTTGAGGTACTATTAATGACAATTAAGAGACAGGAATTACGTATAGCACCTAAAGATCTGAGAATTTTTTGTGTTGTTAAGTAACTGATCAATAAAAGACTTCAGATCATCCAACCATGTTACATTATGACAGTGATGGCGAACCTTTTGAGCTCGGCGTGTCAGCATTTTGAAAAACCCTAACTTAACTCTGGTGCCGTGTCACATATAGAAATTTTTTGATATTTGCAACCATAGTAAAAAAAAGATTTATATTTTTGATATTTATTTTATATATTTAAATGCAATTTAACAAAGAAAAATCAACCAAAAAAATGAGTTCGGGTGTCACCTCTGACATGTGTGTCATAGGTTCGCCATCTCAGCATTAGGACATTTGCTGAAGAAACTGGAATGGAACAGTAAGTTCAAAGAGAAAGAGATAAAAGGTTAAGTTTATAGTTGTTAAAGGTTTGTCCATTAATTTTTAAAAGGATGATGGTGGGCATTTTCCAGACAGAAGCCAGGGTCTTTATGAAGTTCTCAATTTCTACCCAACAACTCCTTAAAATATTAAATCATGTCATCCTCTGCTCAAATTTCTCTAGTAATTTCTTATCTCAAGAGAAAACACTAAGCCTCTACCATGGTTTACAGAACTGTACAAAATTCAGTTCCTGAGATATGCAGCCTCATCATATAGAGCTCAACAAATATTTGCTGAATGACATTCTATATAAGCAATATGGTATGGGGTTCTAAAGCCAGAATTCCAGTCTTGTAACCCATCTGTGCCACTAACTAGCTATGTGTGACATGGGCAAGTTATTTATATTTCTTAACTAGGGCTTACAGAGTTTCCTTATCTATAAAATGAGGTTACTATCTCCCAGTGTTAGGAGAATAATCTGAGTCAATGCATCTAAAGTGCTTGGGACACTATCTAGTATAGCTTTTATTTTTACTACCATCTGACTTACTTGATATATGTATCTCAGATGGTTCCCAGTGTGGAAGTAGAAAGAATTTTATTGCCTCTTCCCCAAATCCTACCTATAATTTTTTAAATGAACATAAATGTGAAGTACAATAACTAAGAGCACTGTTCCATTTTTAACATCTTTTTCTGACTCAACAAACTACCACTGGAGAGTGTCTTTATATATAAACTTTTTATTTTATGTATAAAGTAAATGACTTGTCAAATTAGTCATTTTATGACCTTGGGCTACATATCTCATCAGAATTAGTTCAATGTTAAGTTGTTACATAATAGAAACAATTTCCTACCACTGGTGTTCACAGAAATTTTCCTTATAATAGAATTTTACTTGTCCTAAAATAGGGAATTCTCTGCTATTCAGATATTTGCTTTGGGATACAATGCTGTTAAATATAGATTCCTAGCAATTACCTTTAGAGTTTATAGAAAATTGAATGCAACTTCAAATCAACTTTGCAAAGAAAATTATGTGCTGTGAGTTTTTAGGAGTAAGAGTGATGGTGACATATATGTATATTACACAACTAACTCCTTTTCTCCAAGTTATTGGGTCTTTGGTGGGACTTAATGTTTTAATGACTACCTTAGGATTTTAGGTGATACTCTCCCTCCCCCCGGGATTGAGATATTAGATAATAAGAATATATTAAGTATAATTGATTCTGGATTGGAAACAAACTATGCAATAATATGATTTAAACGCAGTCTTTCTCGCCATTCATCTTTTCTGTTTTATTGTTTACAAGAATTTTATCTTATCGCTATTTAAAATAGAGTATGATTTTTATATAGATGCGCACTAAGGAAGCATTTGGATTACTTATGAGTTTTTTCTTTTAATGTAAATTGATTTTGTAATGCTTATGCTACAACTAATGCAGAAAATACATACTTTATGTTTAATTAGGTAGTCCAGCTACAGGAATGGATGATTAAAATCATCAACAATAATACTGCCATATGTGTAGAAGGAAAATTGATGTAAGTATAACATTTGAATGTTCATATATATA